ACTTAACAGGGCATCTCATACTCTTCTCACACAACATCAAGGCCCGTAAAAAAAAAACTTACAAGAGAGATGCCAATTATACCTTAAACCCCGAAGAAGATTCACAAACCCTAAACCCAAAAAAATTCCCAAAACTTAACCCTCTGATATTCCCAAACCCAAACTCCAAATTCCCGAATTTCCCGAACCCTCAAACCTCAACCCTTCCCAAAACCTCCGTAACCAGGCCCCCAAATTCCCGAATTCCCCAAACTTAAAACCTCTGATATTCCCAAACCCAAACTCCAAATTCCCGAATCCCCAAACCCTGGAACCTCAACCCTTCCCAAACCCTCCGTAAAACTCCCCCAGATTCCCGAATTCCCGAACCCTTCTCCATTAAAACCTGGAACCTGGAGGCAGATGCCGTAGGATTTATCGGTAATGGACGGCCTTTGTTCTGCCTGCATTAGGAGGAGCGCGCGAGGGGAGACAGCGCCGGGGAGGAGGGAGGAGGGGAGGGAGGGGGGAAGGAGGAAGGAGGAGAGGAGGAGGGGAGGAGGAGGGGAAGAGGGGAGGAGGATGAGAGGAGGGAGAGAGGGAAGGTAGGGGAGGAGGATGAGAGGGAGGGAGACAGTGCCAGGGAGAGTAAGGGGAGGGAGGGGAGGGAGGGAGGGGAGGGAGGGAAGAGGAAAGGTAGGAAGCAGGAGGGGGGAGACAGCGCCGGGGGTGAGTAAGGGGAGGGAGGGAGGGGGAAGGGAAGGGAGGGAGTGAGGGAGAAAGGAAAGGAGGGGAGACAGCGCCAGGGAGAGCGAGGGGAGGAGGGAGGGAGGGAGTGCCTACGGGGAAGGAAGGGAGGGGAGAGGGAGAGGAAGGCCTAAGGGAAGGAGGGATGGAAAGGAAGGGAAAGAGAGGGTGCATGAGTGAGGGAAGGAGAGAGGGAGAGATGGAGAGGGAGGAAGTGAGGAAGGGAAGGGGTAGATGGGCGAAGGGAAGGAGAGAGGGAAAGAGGGAGGAAGGAAGGGGGAAGAGTTAAGGGAGGAGGGAGGACCTGAGAGAAAGGAAAGGGTGGGTAAGTAAGGGAAGAGAGGAAGGGGAGGGAGAGTAGAAGAGAGGGAGAGACTGAGGGAGAGGGAGGGAAGAACGTGAGGAAAGGAGAGAGTAAGAAAAGGGAGAGAATAAGAGGAAAAGAAGAACGGAGTGAGGTAAGGGAGGGGAAGGATAGAGAGAGAGAGAGAGAGAGACAGAAGAGAGAGAGAGAGAGAGAGAGAGAGAGAGAGAGAGAGAGAGAGAGAGAGAGAGAGAGAGAGAGAGAGAGAGAGAGAGAGAGAGAGAGAGAGAGAATGAAATAAACAGGAAAGAAAATGCCGAAATTAAAAGGCAGAGCAGAAAAGGGAAAGAGAAAAGGGAGAAAATTCAAAACAAATGAATCAGCGAATTAATGAAATCTGATAAAAGCGGAAAATGAGAGGAGGTGAAGGGAGCGCGGGAGAGAGAGTGCGAATGAAAGCTAAATCAGTAAATAGGAGGTAATTGAAAGAGAAAGCAAAAAAGCAAACAGAATGGGAAGAGAGAGAATTAAATCGTCGAAATTCAGGCAAGTTCCTTTTCTCGAGATCGAAGTCAGGGAAGAAAATAGCCGTTTAATAATACATGGCTTCTTATGCTCATGATTTTGGTGAAGGTAATATATATATAATATATATATATTTATACATATATACATATATACATATATATACATATATATATATATATATATATATATATATATATATATATATATATATATATATATATATATATATATATATATATATATATATATATATATATATATATATATATATATATATATATATATATATATATATATATATTATATATATATATATATATATATATATATATATATATATATATATATATATATATATATATATATATATATATATATATATATATATATATGTTACCAACGGTTAAAATAAACAATGCTGTTGATTCCTATTTTACTGAAGATCTAAGATAACAAGGTTTTTAACTCCATGAATGACATCAAAGTAATAGAACAGAATCCAGGGCCTTGTAGTAAGAAACTAACGAACAGATAAATGCATACCTAGGAACAGAAATATTTTACACACATGCAATAGGATATTTCGTAAAAAATACACCACTAAACAGATTCAAACACTTATCCTAACCAGACCTATATATATCTGAGAACACATAAAACTTATACTTAAGTACTGGGATTCCTTGAATCTAGAAATAAGGTGATGATAAACACAAAAAGGGGGAAAGAACAAAGAGCTGTCGCCTGAGAGAGAGCGCGTGGAAGAGTGAAGTGTCAACTCCTCTCATTGGCTGAGAGCCTACAGACATCCAGGTGGCCTCTCCCTATTGGCTGTAAGGAAAAATGCGCGCGAACTGTCAGAATCCCTAACATGGCACTGGCTTTAACACCTCCCTTTCTAAGAAGAAAAATTTACAATGAAATTTTTGTTTCAACAATATCTTAAAGTCGTGACAAGCAATCTGCAATCACATTATCCTTCCCTTTTATATGAATGATATTAAGATGAAACTCTTGCAAGTATAAACTCCATCTAGTTAATCGCTGGTTTTTATCTCTAAACTTGTTCAAATATTTGAGGGGATGATGGTCAGTAAACACCGTAATTTCATGGCAGAAGGATTAAGGTAAACAGCAAAATGTTGAAGACCAAGTATAAGTGATAATAACTCTTTCTCAATGGTAGAATAATTTTTCTGGGCTGAATTAAATTTCTTACTAAAGTAACAAACTGGGTGATCAATGGCCTGGTCATCTTCCTGCAATAAGACGGCACCAGCACCAACATCACTTGCATCTACAGCCAATTTGAAGGGCTTACTGAAATTAGGAGCTTGCAATACAGGGGAATTAGAAAGAATAGCTTTGACTTGATCAAATGCTAGTTCACATTCCTTACTCCACTCAAAGTTGATACCTTTCTTCAACAAATCAGTAAGGGGAGCTACCACTTCTGTAAAATTTAAAATAAACATACGATAGTAACCTATCATACCTAAGTATCTTTGTAATTCTTTCCTATTCTGAGGTCTGGGACACCGACATATAGATTCAACTTTAGCCAGTGGTGGGGCTACTGATCCCTGTCCAATTACATACCCAAGATACTGTACTTGGGCTTTAACAAATTCACATTTTTCGAGGTTTACAACAAGATTAGCACTGGAGAATCTATTCAAGAGTTCTCCAACTTCAGAGATATGTTCTTCCCAAGAATCACTGTAGACAACCACATCATCTATATAAGTTACACAGCCTTTGATTCCTGCAGTAATAGTGTTCATCAATCTCTGAAAAGTGGCAGGAGCATTTTTCATACCATAGGGCATCACTTTACACTTATAAGTTTGACCCAAAGTAACAAAACATGAAATGTCCTGAGCTCGGTCAGTCAAAGGAACTTGCCAATATCCCTTTAGTAGATCAAACTTGCTAATGTAATTAGAACTTCCCACTTTGTCGATGCACTCATCCACCCTTGGTAACGGATATGTGTCTGTCTTAGTCAGAGCATTGACTTTCCTAAAATCAATACAAAATATCATCAGACTTGGCACTAGAGTCACAGGTGAACACCACTCACTTTGGCAAGCTTTCAATTAGTCCATGTTCTAAATAATTCAAGAAGAGGGGCAAGACGATTTGGATTTACACGGTAAGGCGCCTGCTTCACTGGTGCAGCATCCCCCACATTCACATCATGCACTGCTAATGTTGTAAGTCCTGGTGAGTCCCGGAATACATCCTGATACCGAGACAAGAGTGAGACAAATTCTTCTCTCCGCTCTGCTGTTAGATGGGTGAGCTTATCTGATACCTTGGTCCAGGCGTTAGTGTTCTTCTCCCAGGTCCCAGTCATCTCCAATGTTGGCGGGCAAGCATTATCTTCATCTTCTGTGGGTGTTAGAGCTACTGCACACACTGGAGCATCTGGTGAATCCCTCTGGTAGTATGGTTTTAACATATTTATGTGACATAGTCGACTGGATTTTCTCCTATCTGGGGTGGAAACAACATAATTAACATCACTCAGCTTCTGCTTTACCAAATATGGACCACTAAATTTTGCCTGTAAGGGTTGACCATGTATGGGAAGCAGAACCAACACCTGATCACCTGGCTGGAACACCCTCATTCTCGCTTTCTTATCGTACCATTTCTTCATTTTCTTTTGGGAAGAAACCAAGTTATCTCTAGCAATTTTCCAACTACGGTTCAGCTTCTCTTTGTCACTAACATAAGATAAAAGTCCTACATTCTCATCCATACCAAGCCACTCTTCTTTTAATAATTTTAATGGTCCTCTCACCTCGTGGGTGAACATTAACTCAAATGGAGAAAACCCCAAGGATTCATTTGGTGTTTCTCTAGTAGCAAAAAGCAAGAAAGGCAAGCCTTTTATCCCAATCCTTGTGACTTTCTGTACAAAATTTTGTAATCATACTTTTAAGAGTTTGATGATAACGTTCTATGGCACCTTGACTCTGAGGATGGTAAGCAGTGGAAGTGATCTGCTCAATACCTAGTTCCCGGAGGGACTGTCTGAAAACTTTGGACATAAAATTTGATCCCTGGTCAGACTGCACTTCTTTAGGTAAGCCAAACCTTGTGAAGAACTGTAATAACTCTCTTACTACTATTTTAGCTGAGGTATTTTTGAGAGGAACAGCCTCAGGATATCTAGTAGCCATATCCATGATAGTAAGAATATAAGAATATCCTGTTGCAGTTTTAGGTAAAGGGCCAACAATATCAATAACCACTCTGGAGAATGGAGCATCAAAGGGGGGAATGGGTATTAATGGAGCAATATCAGGAGGTTGATTAGGCTTACCGACCATTTGGCATGTGTGGCATGTCCTGCAATAACGGGAAACATCTTTGCGAATTGTAGGCCAATAAAAGTTACGCCAAATCCTCTTTCCCCCCAAATGTCCAAAGTAGAATCATGAGCAAGTTTCATTATATCATACCTATAAACATTTGGAACTACTACCTGGTGTACTGTCACCCACTCACTGTCAGTTGCTGGGGACGAATGGGGTCTCCACTTACGCATTAATACACCCCTTTTCAAATAGTAACAAACTGACAGTTCATCACACTCATTTTCAGCCACAGCAGCTTCAGCTAAGTCTTGCAACTCAGGGTCAGCTTGCTGCAATTCAATTAATCCTTTAGACATATCAGTTTGATTAACTAGTGCTACTCTATCTACAGAGTCAATGGTGGCAAAAAAGGTATCAGCCAAGTTAACAGCATCAGTATCAGTAGTAGTGACAGGATTGATTACATTCCCAGTCTGAGGTACTTTAATATTGGTTGACATGGACCTTGTTACAGCACAGGCAGGGAACACATGGGGTACTTCCTCAACTAATTGCTTAGTTTCTTCCACAGCTACAGGTTTCTCAGATAATAACGGGACAGGGTTCACCTTGTTGCCCGCTATATCATTTCCCAACAGGAAATGAACACATGCATAGGCAATTGATCCACCAGGCCTACACACACAAAACCCTCAAAGAATTCACACTCAAGGTACACTCTCACAGGGGTAACAGAGATGGATCCTCCAACTCCATGAACAACTATTTTCTCTGGGCTTTCAAAATCAACCAAACCTTTTAACATGAGAGATTTTAAAGCGCCAGTATCCCGTAAAATCTGAACAGATTTCTTTTCCCCACCCTCAAGTGAGACAGTACCTTCATGCATAAAACTATCATACGATCCAGTGAAAGCCCCATCACCACTGTTTACATCCAACTTTCTTAAAGAAGCTTTATTTTCATTTCTGGGGAAAACAGTTACAGGTGAAAACTTTTTGGATAAACTTACTTTAGTGGAAACCAAGGCTACTGATTTAGCCTTAATTTCTCGTGACTTCTTCCAACACTCTCTCTCCCAATGGCCAGTCTTCCCACAGTAATTACAAATCTTACATTTCTTCCCTTGTACAAAATCATGTGGCTTGGACATCTTTCCATGGTCCACTACATCATCTGGAAGAGCAAACTTACAGTGAGAAGCTGCTACAACATCTCTCTTATTCTGAAAACCCGGAAATTTATTAGTATAGGTCTTATGTGTCAATACATACTCATCAGCCATAATGGCAGCAACAGCTATATTATCTACACCTCGTTCAGATAAGTATAGAGAAACTTCTTTAGGAACACATCTGGCAAATTCCTCTAATAACATTAGTTCCTTTAATTTAACAAAGTCTGACTTTACCTCTTTTGAACGAAGCCACTGATTAAACAAATCTTCTTTAACTCTGGCAAATTCTACATAAGTCTGGTCAGCTAGTTTGAAAGTGTTTCTATATTTGAGCCTATATGCCTGGCACAAGTTCATACGACTTCAGAATAGTATTTTTCACAATATCATAATCTACACATTGAATGTTTGATAAAGATGCATACACACTTTGAGCTTACCCTTCAAAACACTTTGCAACAATATTGGCCAATACTCTTTGGGCCAACATAAACTCTGTGCAACCTTTTCAAACATCACAAAGTACTTGGTGACATCCCGCTCACAAAAAGGTGGAACAAGTCTTACCTGTCTTGCCACATCAAAGGAATGAATAGAGACAGGATTGCTCTCCAGCTGTTTTATTCTAAACTCATGATTTAGCTTCATCTCTTCCCGGCGCAAATCAAGTTTGGCCTGCTCCAGACGGATCTTTTCTAATTCTAAGAGCACACAAGGGTCTTTAAGATTGCTTGAGCCTTCACTTGTAACTTCATGTGAAGCTGAAAAGTCATGAACACGGTCAATTTCTTCAGGGAAATTCCCTGAAAAAGGATCCTCTATACCAAACAATTTCCTGTTAATCATGTTAACTAATGGGAATCTATTTACATCTGAAGGAAACTCCAGTTCAAGAAATTTAGCAACTAATTTTAGTTCATGGTTCCCTAATGATTCAACTTTCTCAACAGATGGTTCTGATGAAAGAAAATTCTTGACATCCTCTTCACTAATGATAGATGCCATGTTTACAAAGACGGGTAGAGATAACTGGCATAAATGATGCAGTTTCCTAATACATTACACGGCACCTGGATCCTGGCAAGGTCGCCAATTTTGTTACGCAACGGTTAAAATAAACAATGCTTGATTCCTATTTTACTGAAGATCTAAGATAACAAGGTTTTTAACTCCATGAATGACATCAAAGTAATAGAACAGAATCCAGGGCCTTGTAGTAAGAAACTAACGAACAGATAAATGCATAACCTAGGAAAGAAATATTTTACACACATGCAATAGGATATTTCGTAAAAAATACACCACTAAACAGATTCAAACACTTATCCTAACCAGACCTATATATATCTGAGAACACATAAAACTTATACTTAAGTACTGGGATTCCTTGAATCTAGAAATAAGGTGATGATAAACAAAAAAAGGGGGAAAGAACAAAGAGACGCTGTCGCCTGAGAGAGAGCGCGTGGAAGAGTGAAAGTGTCAACTCCTCTCATTGGCTGAGAGCCTACAGACATCCAGGTGGCCTCTCCCTATTGGCTGTAAGGAAAAATGCGCGCGAACTGTCAGAATCCCTAACATGGCACTGGCTTTAACATATATATATATATATATATATATATATATATATATATATATATATATATATATATATATATATATATATATATATATATATATATATATATATATATATATAATATATATATATATATATATATGTATATATATATATATATATATATATATATATATATATATATATATATATATATATATGTATGTTGTGTGTGTGTGTGTGTGTGTGTGTGTGTGTGTGTGTATGTGTGTATGTGTGTATGTGTGTGTGTGTGTGTGTGTGTGTGTGTGTGTGTGTGTGTGTGTGTGTGTGTAAAAGAAAGAGATAGAAGGAGAAAGAAGAGTGAATAGGAAAAGAAATGTGAAGAAAAAAAAGTAAAGAAAAAAGGCAAACTAAAAAGACTACACAAAACTACAAAAAAAGAAGAATGACCCCAAAAAAAAATAAAAAAAAAAAAAATAATAATAATGATGATAAAAACATAAAAATAGATAAGAATAAATAAAAAAGAAAAGCACACGCACCCACACCATACAAACCCGACAAAGTATTCCCCCCCCCCCCTCAATCCTTCGCCGAGACTGGCTCCCGGCTGAGGTGACTCCCACCAGCTGACTCTGACAGACGAATAGAACCCTTAATGGCCCGTCGGATAGGGGGGGGAGGGAGGGGGGAGGGGAGTAATGAGGGTGGGGGGGTTGGTGTTGAGGTGGGGTAAAGGGGAGGGGGTTACCAGGGATAGTGGGTGGAGGTGGGGCGAGGGGAGGGGGGTTGAGAGGTGATGGGGGCAGGATTAGGGGAGGGGGAGGAGATAATTATGGGGAGAGGGAGTGAGATGCAAATATATATATATAATATATATTATATATATATATGTATGTATGTATGTATACACGCACACACATACACACAACACACACACACACACACACACACATATATATATATATATATATATATATATATATATATATATATATATATATATATATA